GTTTTCTATATCATCTTTTTTAATGGTGACAAAAGTGTCGTCCACATAGCGAATCGAGAATTTTGGTTTGATCACAGGTAGGATGATGGCTTTCAGTCTCTGCATCACTGCTTCTGCAATTAGTCCGGATATCGATGATCCCATTGGGGTTCCTTTCATCTGTTTGTATATCTTGCAGTTGAATTGGAAGTATGTTGTCAGACAAAGGTCGATGAGTTCCATCAGACTTGAACATTTGAGTTTTGTGCGTGCTGAAAGGTTTTTGTCTTCATTGATCAGGAGGGATTTCGTTTCCTTGGCCAACTGAAGTTCGATGGATGCGTATACTGCTGTAACATCGAAGGATATCATTAACTCATCGTTTTGTATGTTAATATTTTCGATCTTTTCTAACAATTCTGTTGGTAACTTGATGGAATGTCCATATGATTGAACGAGGTGTTTCAGTTTCTCGAAAGTTCTCTTGATATGTTGTATGTTAGAGTTCCTGGAAGTGGGACTATTGGTGGTAGAGGGATATCGGGTTTGTGTAGTTTTGGTCTGCAGTAGAATCGAGGAAGGATAGGTTTATTCGACTTCATATACCATTTGTCTTGCTTTGTTATTCCTTCTGCTTTGAAGAGTTTGTTCAAGGTTTTATTGATCTGGTCGATGAACTTTTGGATAGGGTTTGTTTCAAGTGGTTGATACACATTTTTGTCTTTGAGTGATTCCTTTGCCTTCTTGATATAGTCTTCTTTGTCCATGACTACTGTAGTGCGTCCTTTGTCTGCTGGAAGTATAACGATATCTTTCCTATTTTTCAGTTAGGTGAAGTAAATTAGATAATTATTATCAATCGATTAACTTTGTTTTACTCACATGATTTCTGATTGAAAAATGTCATTCCTCCAATCAACTAGTTAAATATATACGCTAATCGTGATAACTAAGATACTCTCCCGTGAATCAGTCGAGGACAGTGACCTGATGTTTGAAGCGATAACTGCTGCCTTCTGGTCTCAATGAGAATACCATCATCCAGGTAAATTCGGCTGATGAATCCCAAATAGAATGGAATGTGCGTCCTGAACTTCACTGCTACCTCACCAAAAAGCAAATAATATCTGGGTGTTTTCTGATTGACACATCTGTCTGCAAGTGTTGTATTCAATATTCAGTTTAACATTTTTTGTAGAATATGAATCTGTATGACACATATTCAGAAATCAAATCATCTAAGCAGTACATTCTTCATATTTAATGATCCAAGAATTATGTTGGAGATCTTTAGTGAAAATAATCAGCATGAATATATTTTAGTCTCAACATATTTTCATTCCTTGAAAGTAATATATAAAAGTTTGACTATCCCATTTACTAATTTAAAGTAGTTCTTCATCTTGATCTCAGAAAAACACCATATCGACAACTGTTATGAGTATTCAGTTAAACAACATGGGACTGGGCATAACTCCTTGATGGCCAAGGTCACCATTGTTGACATCAGTTCATCAGGATAAAATGCACCAGGACATAGGATAGATAAAAAATAAGACAAATCTTAATCAGAAATCATAGAATTACATAACGAGATCGGAAAACAGGGTAAAATAATGAAGAAATATGATTCTATGACTAGGAAGAAGAGACTGTGCTGATGCATCTGCTGCACTGAGATAGATTCCGAGACATGTCACGTAGAGTCTCCAACCACCAATTCCGGTAGTCACTCAGAGTATAACACTTAATTCATTGTAAGATAACCTCCCTTTTAGAAAATCTTACCGAGAAACCTAAAATTTTAATAATCTCAAGAAAATTGCATACACACGACCAACATAATATCAGTCAGTCAATCGCTTTACAGTTGTATATAATGGTGATAAATTTATCAGTGCAACCTTCATGTGTCACCGTATAATCTTCTAAGGGAATAAACCAATTTAAAATTTGAACGTATTACTTCATATATCATCACTTGTGTGGGTACACTGAAGGTTTTGAAAGTAATATACTTTCCTATAGAAAAGCATAGGTTAAGTTGCATAAACGCCGAAGAAATGATGATGATAATTAATTCTACGAACAAACATTTGTCTGTTTACTTAAAGCTAGACATTACCCTGGAAATTATAAAAATTATTCAGAGATACGAAATGGAGATGAATCTTAAAAGAGGAAAAACTACATTTCATTGATTACCATTTTGACTACCTGAAATAGCCGTGGTTTGGTAGACAAGTATTGATACTACATGATGATTGAAAGTGAAATGAAAACTTGGACCACGGCCGGATTTAAACCAGTGGCCACCGGGTTCCTGGCCTGACGCTCCACCAACTGAGCTACGAGGTTGATTAGCAGCCTCTTATCACTGAAAAGTCATTTCAATTTCAGACTGTAGATCATTCTTACCACTAAAGACTATCATGAAATGTGCGTTTTTTTCTTGTTAAAAAATACAAAATCTAAACCGTACAATGTTTTTTAGTTGGTTGGAGACAATCGACAGGATGCGCCGCGTGGCGCATGTTTCATCCTTCTTGGCATTAGTCAACAAGGTGTATTAGCAACTCCAATACAAATGATGTCTCCTGTGGGATTCAAACCCGTATCACCCAGTGATGTAGTCAGAGAGGTTGCCACTGACGATGAGTTTCCTAGTTTGATGGTCACATCAAAAAATGATTGTTAGAATTTAGTCAGGATTCAGGAACAACCAACATAAAATCAGCTCCTCTCCTGTGGCCAATCAAAGTATTGTATTTAATCAACACGAGTTTTTTAGTAAATTTCTTTTCAGCCTAGTAAAGCTGAAACAGAAACTTTCGCAATATGATCTTAAACAATCTAGATGATCACTGAGTGGGATGTATTCCCAACTCTATTCATTGAAATTACAAACTGATAAACTTTACTTGAAATTTCATGCAATTCTTTCTCTTTACACATTTAAACAAAGCAAGAACAATAGCATGAACCCATTTTATTTCGCGGATCCTCATCAGCCGCTTACAACCTAAAACAATTTTAACATCCATTTATGCAGAATGTTTGAATACTCGAATCACTTCGATCAAAAATTGTCTACTTGAATTAAAGATATCATCTCTACATCGGCAAATTTAATTCTGCACACTGATTCATTCAATTTGTAAGTTTTCCATCACTTCATATCAATACTATCTTCAACTCAAGCCGACAATTTTCCATCAAAATGATTGAAGTCTTCAAACATGCCGCATAAATTCATGTTAAAATTGTTTAAGGTTGTAAGCGGCTGATGAGGAACGTCGAAATAAAATGGGCTCACGGTATTCTGTTAAAGCTATTGTTCTTGCTTTATTTAAATTCTACATGTTCAGATATTCCAGTCACGTATATATAGCACTTTAGAAAAAATATCAGTAATTTTAAATAAAGTTGTGATGTGATGACTGAAATTTCTGTGGAATCCAGGAATAGTTGATTGCGTTACTAATTATACAACTAGACAATTATGATTACTTGCAAACTGTTGAAGGGGAGTCCAATGATGCAAACAAAAATGTTTGTCGAGAGGATACAACTGACAGTGGTAAATATACCAAACCTAACAATAAGCTATCCTGTGGATTTACGTGGTGGCTAACAGTGGAATGTAGGACGCTCGTTTCGTCCCATACCTGACTTGTCGGCTCGATGTACCTGTACCGCAATGAGTGATGATGTTCCCAATGAGGTTCAGCAATTCCATTCAGTGAAACAAACAGGAATTAAGAGCTTGAGTAAATAATAAGTTATCCACTTGCAAATAACTCCTTTTTCTACATGTTATTTGGCACTGCTGTTCAGCTTGGTATTCTCACTTAATGTTGTACATTATTTCAACCTGATTCCTCACCAACTGATAGTTATTACTTTTGATGTTGCTACATATCATATATATATTCATTCTTATAAGTAGTTCTTACGACACTACACATCAACAATAAAACATGTGTCAGAATAACCAAATAGAAGAATTTATGGAAATTGGAGTGTAAAATTAACAATGGATAAGTAACAGGGGAATGAATCAATAACAAATTCGCACAAGAATTTAAGTACAATAAAGTATAAGTGGAAGTTCACTGGCAAAACAAAAGATATTCCAAGGAAAAGTAAAACAAAATGCCATTAACAATATTCTCCCAACAAAACGGACTCAAGAGTAGGAAATATATGCCGATAAATGAGTGGTAACATGTTCATCATCTTATACACATCCTTCATTGGGTCTAAATTAGAAAACTGTACACACGTGGCAAATCCTTGTCTAAAAGATGACACGGGCCTCCAAGAAAGAGTTCAGAGGGCAGCCACTCGTATGATCCCTGCGATGGCTGGCCTCACCTAAGATGACCGACCTAAGGAGCCGAACCTGCCGCAGACAGAGGGGAGACCTAATCATGGTATACAGGGTTTTAAGAAGTGACTTCAGACCCAATCTACCTTCTCTTCTCCTTCCCACCAGGTCGGAACCCCTCAGAGGATATAGCAGGAGATTGCAAAAGCAAAGAGCTAAAATAGTCTCCTCCTGTCCTCAAACAACAAATCTGAATCTATTGCACAAATATATCCCTGTTTTTCCTTCCACCGTTGAGCATAATTAAAGTCTTCATTTCTTCATATCAGCCACCTGGCTTATACTAGTTTCTGCCGCTTAGGGCTCCTAGAGAGAGGAGGGTCGCATAAAGACAATCGATTGTCTCAACAACGTCATGGCTTCTACAAACTAGAAAGAGAAATAACCAACATATCACCATAGGTCTGAGGGCCAAATTGCAGGAAAATGCGAAGGACCTCCAAACCCACCCAAATAGTCCAGCTAAATAAAAAGAACTTAGCATCAGGACCTTGATGACAGAGTTAGGAACCGTCAGGTTGTTATACCTGCTTGTGAGACAATACCTACTGCTCCATGTCATCCTTTATCTGAATGTCTGATGATGTTCACTTTAACTGCTTCTCTTACTTTTGAAAATTTCTTCAACAAGAACATTATACTTTCACAAACTGTACGCTTCAGAAGAGGTAATTCAAAATGGTTCGGTACTTGTGTGTTTTGCTGAAGAGACCGACCAGCTTTTTCATGATAATGTTCTCTGTAAGTACAAATAATCCATGATTGTTTTCCTAAAATTTATAGTCACTTGCTAGTTTATTAGCCGATTTCGATCCTCTTTCTGATTTAATTACCTCCACCTACTGTGTTTCCAGTGGCCGGGTAGTATCACTAGCCCCCATACAATATATGTGGCTCATTGCCCACTGCACATATGTGTACAAGGCTATGTGTCCAGTACTTTATACTGTTGACCGCTTTTTATGAAGCCCAAGTTCAAGCTAATTGGAACTTTGTTGGTACTTTTTGGGTAAACAACTGGCAAAATTGCAAATCTCGTTACTCATAATTATTTTGTGTTATTCGCGAATTATTTATCTTCAAGTGTTCACATTGTTCCGAAGTTTGAGAAATCAAAAACAAGCAATTCACTATAGTTGATGACATATATGTCACAAACAATAGTGTTAGTATTTGCTCCATGATATCGCACCACCCCTAATTCTAACTCCTTTTTATGATACCGATGCTGAAAAGATGACCTTGTGTCTGGTTGTTTCCCGTTTCAATCTATATTCTAACTACTACGCCCTAAAAGCTAAGTAAAAATAATGTAAAATCCCTTCGTCCTGACACCGTTTTAGTATTCAAGCTTCAATTCATCAACTGTAACAATTATTTCCTAACTTTAGCTCAAACCAGTAAAAAACAATTGTGTCTAATCTCTTCAGAAAAGTCGTAAAACATGAGCAAATCTCGCATTATGTTACTGATGGCAAAAAAAGACCAAAGCCTCTGCACCCCGAGAATTAGCAAAAACGCACTTCACTTCTATTGGTATTTTCAAGTCGCCTGTAGCGGATCTAAATTCTGTGAAAACAACCTTTATCGCTTGGATTATTAGCGTCCTGTATTCACATACCCTTGTTACTTCGCTGATCATGTACTTATTTCCAGACCGAAACGTGCTTTCTTTTTGATACATAAGTATAAATGGGTAAAACTTTGAGTTGTCATCAAATTCTTTAAGGTAGGCTCAAGATATGCCCCATTTTGGTTCTATTCGGCTGACAATCACTTAATTTGGTAGATTAGAGCAAAATATTCACTATGGAACTTTGGGTTGTTAGGGGGTATTTGATAGTTTTTCTGCACTTCCTATGGTTTTCCATGAAAACTAGCATGGGGCCGTAAGTCACCCCTAAATTCCTTAGCACTTTTAAATTAGTTGAAGCCAAGTCGAAACTCATCTGCTCATGTTAGCTTGAGCCAGCCTCCACCCCAGATCATGTGGTTTGTCCAGCTGTATCTCATTGGTTTAGGAAGTTGACTTCCAGCCAGTGGGCGACGGGTTCGAGCTGCTCCACTTTCCGAGGTTCGGGCAGCTAGCCTGCACAACAAGTGCTTTTCATTTCCTACTGCATGAACGTGCGATACATTTCCGTTCTGAGACTCACATTTTGTCTGAATTCACTCGTTTGTGTCCTATCGTGTGATTAATGAACAAACAAGCAGTTACAACGATAAAAACTTCAAGCTGGCGATTACAAGACAGGCTGTTAAAACTGACAGTTGCTTATTAGTCAAAACTAAGGCGTTATAAGTTACTGATATCAGAAACAACTATTCTTGCGTTTATGGGCATATCTGGGGGAGGTGTTAGTTATTGTAAAAGGATTTTAATATTAGCTGTGTCCTTATTTGTTTTGTATTTAATGCTGTTGACTACTTCAACTGCGCTCCTGCTTATAGACCTGGTTAAACCTTAATTCTCTGTGATCTTCATCGTCTTCATTTGTAATTTCATAGCTATCATCACTGACTGTTGTTAAACATCCGAAGCTATGCGGATAGCGGTCCAATAACTCAGTCTATGCCGTTTATATGTAATAAATAGCTTATAAAGCCTGAGATATATTTGAAGTTCTGATCAGTTGTAGCTGTTGAATAAATATCGGATAGTTTCCACTAAGTGTGATCAGAAGTATCCTTTTGGCAAGTATTTTTGAAATGGACTTATTCTTCATGCTTCGATATAACGTAGTCTTGTGATGATTAATCTTGTTGAATTTTATTAAGAATTATTGAAAGGCGTCTACGTAAAGTATTTGGTGAATTATTTACAGGCTGTGGGCAGCCATCAAAACCTAATATCTGTCTTAACTTCATTATCTTTTGTGTACAGTTGTGTCTTCCAACTTTTCACCTTCTTTTATGACCGCCTAGAAGTAATAGCTATCAAAACGAAATGTCGTTAGCTTCAGATTGAAGCGTAAATAATTGTTTCGTAGGTGGACATCTAACTATTAGAGAAGAAAACTTTATGACTATTACAGCCGGCAAAATGACAGCTGAACATTTAAAACAGATGTTCGTGAAATTATCAGTTTACGGTTAAAATACCACAACCTTACTTAACTCAATGGTAAGATGCCAGCGTGGTTTCCTTCTAAGGCCAAAATTAACACGCATCAAATTTTAATCTACTTCAAACCAAGAATGGTGCCGTAAACCATTTGGAACTGCGAAGTACACACGACTTATTGACATGTGTAGCTGGAAAGTAATCTAGACGATTAGCAGTGCCGCCTGCTAGTTTGATCGAGATGATCGAAACACTAGATGGTCTCTACGTTAGTGGCGAAATCATCAGTAGCTGACACGGACTAATTGCGTTCAAATACCCAAGTCTTTCAAGCCACTTCAAATCGACTAGCCAGTTTGGAGAACAGGTAATTGCTAGAATTAAAACTAAGGTTTTCAAAATTCTCACTTCAGAACATAGATCCCCCCCGATCTAGTTATCAAGCAGTGCTAATTGTCAAAATTTCCTGTAACTATTCATGTGGATCAGTAGAATTTATCTTGTAACCCTATATTCATTGTTTGTTCACAGACTATTGCTATTACTCCTGATTAACCATATTTCCAGCTAGTCGATTTCTACTCATATTAATTTCATTCTCATCCTTTTTATACGAGTAACAGTATTATTTCACTAAATACCGGGATACAGAATGATACGCAATAGTATCATTTTTCCAGTCTTTTTCATCACGATTTGAATTTTAAGGATAGTCACAGCATACGCTCATTCAGTCGATAATTTCATCTTGTGACTGTCTGTCATTCACTTTCTATTCTCTTTCCATCGTTTATCCAAACCATTAATTATTGCTTTTATAACGCACTTATGACTCTACTGTCGATCTTAAGCCATCACATGGAATTCAATCATCGGTTTCGGTTGTTTTATGGACTTCAACCACAAAGCCTGTATTCCTCTACATAACTCAGATTAACAGTCAGAGACCTAATAAACTGATGCTGCCTTTTGGTCTGACTATTCTTATTTTCAACAGAAATATAATGCAGCTAACATCGCACCCTAAGGTAGACAGTGAGTCGTCATGAGTAGTACATGTTCAATCGGTGATTGTTCCACAACCTAGCCGAATTGCTTATCTCACCAACGTCGTGCTCGATGTCTAACTTCGTCACTGTTCATACAGTGATTCCACCACACACAAGTGACACTCTGAAGCTTATTATGGTAAAACAGCTGTAGTCTCAAATCCTTCTGCTTTAATAACTATGATTTACATAGGTGCAGTAAAATAAAATTTCCGTTCGGTAAACGTAGTTCTTAATAGGCACTTTGACACACTAGCTATATAATTGATACTGGTTTGCTGAAGGCAACTGAGTCCTTTATATTCGTACTGCGATTTTATCGGTTATCAATCCAATACAGTTAGTCTAAATTCCTATTTAGGTGAAGTGATCAATTTGCTCAATCACTTCGCGCAGGTGGGGTGTTCGTGAAAAGAATTCATTGCCAAATACGCCTGCTACTCATGACCTCATATTTCTTGTTATTGCGTATCTATTCGAGTTGACATAATCATATCGGCATGTCAAGCCAGAAGATACCAAGATGAAAGGTAGTAAGATAAGGAAGAAAGTAGTCAAAATTGTAGAAAGTCGTGGTGTGGATTGATAAAAGTCAGGTGAGCCTTTTGTTTTCATGCAGAGATTTCTTCAGGCACCAGGGCTAATCCGACTTCCCAAGTAAGTGATATGGTCAAGGTGGTCAATCACTTCACCCCCTATTGTTAGACATGATACTAATGCAGACCATTTCTGGAACAACGGTTTGCAGTTGAATAGCCAGAAACGCATGTCGAACATTCCAAAATTGTCATTCAAGCTGTTCAGTGTATTTTGCATCTTGTCAGCGTCTTCATCTAACAGGACTATGTCATCTGCGTACTCTAAATCTGCTAAGGGTTCTCTTGTGACAACATCAATCCATGTAATAACACACTCAAAGAGAGAGACATCCGCAGCACATCTGTGACCAAATTAGATAAGAATAGGTAGAGTGAACACCTTTGATGGACACCACTCAATTTGTACAACTCACCATACGCTCTAACATGCCCATGGCTATTGGAGTACACAGCCTTCAACAGAGTAATGTAATTACTCGGCACCCCTGATAATGAAATACATTGCCATGAAACCTCCTGATTGACGAATTTGAATGATGCCTTTAGATGAGGAAATACAGCTAGTGTTGCGTACCGCTACATTTGCCTATGTTTCATGCCCTCTCGGAGTGTGACAGCACATTCATCAGACTGATTCCTCTCAGGTTACCACAAGGAAATTTATCTCCATTCTTGAAGACTGGGACAATCACTGGTTAAGACTAACCAGGAAGGATCATATCTGATTCCCACACGATAGCTAACACTGTAGGCAATCCAATGAGTTGTGGCTCATTGGTTTGGGTAGTTCACTTTCAGTAAGTGGGTCACGGGTTTGAACCGTGCATCACCTGTAAATTTCTGGTGACCCAAATAGTATTATTAGCCCTCACACAATAGATGTAGCTTATTGATTATATCCATTAAAAATTTGTGCATTGTAGAGAGAGTTATGACTTATCGACTACTTCACAAACGTGCAACAAGGTCGCTAAGTGCATTTACTTTCAATTTCGACCCAATAATCCTCGATGACCATCCTTGATTACC